ACTACCAGCTCAGCCCTGCTGTGGTACCAGCTCAGCCCTGCTGCGGTACCAGCTCAGCCCTGCTGTGGTACCAGCTCAGCCCTGCTGCGGTACCAGCTCAGCCCTGCTGCGGTACCAGCTCAGCCCTGCTGTGGTACCAGCTCAGCCCCCCTGCGGTACCAGCTCAGCCCTGCTGTGGTACCAGCTCAGACTGGTCCGCTGGTCCAGTTTGTGGAGTGTTTGTGAAGAGGGATTTGGGAGGAGCAGAGGCAGGGAAAGAGGCACTGGCGTACATTTTTCAGAAAGGCTGTGCTATTAACCCACACTCAGTGGGCCAGCACTGGCAGAGACCTCGCTGCTCCCAAGTGGATGCTGTACATGGATCAGTCACTCCTTGGACATGAGTTGCACCTGAGCAGTGCTCAGGGTCTGTATCTCTAGTGCATCTCAGGGCTGTATCCATACCAGTAAACTGCACCACAGCCGCTGCCTGGCACTGGACCGTGATGATCTGCCCCACTGAGCTGGCATGATTTTTGGTCAGGACCACCTTGTTGTAGTCTCCCAAATAATGCCTGGGCACAGCTTAGGGACCAGCACTGGGACTCTCTCAAAGATAGCCTCCCAGTTTTGGAGACAATGTTAGTAGTCAGGACTGTAGCTGGCTGCTTTCAGTGCAGCTTGGGAGTAGCTCTGGAGCCTCCAAAGGTACACGGCTCCAGATGACCCTGTGGAAGGTTCCAGGAAAGGGTGTGCTCACCCAGCTTACTCACAGCTGCTGGAGCTGACAGAAAGTAGGGGGTTAAGGGCTGGCAGGGCCATGAGGAACTTGCACTGGATTGGGGGGAGAGGGAAGCTGCACCCCAGGAGTGCTGGGTTATGCACGCAGCAGAGGGAAATAGCTCTTGCTTCCAGCTCTGAGCTCTGCCTTGCTCCCAGGAGCTGCTGCCCTAAAGGATGGCTGAACTGTATGTGCAATGACTGTCAAACCGTTCCATCCCACATGTCCTGACATTAAATTAAATGTGGCTACATGCTGGGTGAGCTTAATATCCAAGCCTTTAAACTTGAAGGAGAGATGTGGGGCTTTGTGGCACAGCAGACCTCAGCACAAGATGCCTGTGCTGAGAGTGGAGTGGAAAACAAGGAGACACGCCATGGTCTAGATGAGTAATAAAAAGATGACTGCAAGCTGCAGAAAGGAGAAGCTGACTTCATTTATCTCTTACCAGGACACAGGCCAACCAGGCCAGCAATTACTTATTTAGCTGTAGGATAGGAACCCATAATATTAAAGTGTCCTGACATGCACATCATCCTAACCCACATAAAGGGCTAATACTAATTATCTGCTGAACTTGCAACATACCCATTACAGCAATGCCGAGCCGGCTGGGTGGGGCCGGTTTTTACTGTGTCTCAGAGCCCCCGGCAGCCGGTGCTCCGCGCCCTGCCTGCTGCCCGGCGCACGGTGTCACCCGGCCACCGCCAGCTCTCCTTCGCCCGCAGGAACTGGGGGCAGCTCCCAAAACACCGGGATTCTCATGGCAGGGAAAAGGCAGAGGCTGGAGGTGCCTTTTGGTTTTACTTTCCCTCATTTTTTGATTCATGCACTGGATGAAATGTTGGTAGAAATCTACCTGTGCCAGTTCCAAATTCTCTTGGGAAATAAGTATTGCTGCTGACAGATCCTTTGGAAAAGGTGGGAGCAGGTTTTGCACAGAGAAGCAGATTTTGCTAACCAGAGATGCACTGTCTTGATGACGAATTAATTCTGTCTTCCACCCACACAACACGTACAGCTCGTAATACGGAGGAGTCAGCCACAAGGGAAGGAAAAACAGGCAACCTACTGTACAATCCAACCTCTTTCCTAAAATGATCCAAGCCCATCCTTTGCACAGAAGTATTGGACGCTGGGTTCTCACTGTGGGAAGAACATCATCAAAGCACTCCTAAAGAACTGTATTTCCCTTGGTGCTGAGGATGAATAATGTTCTTCACCTGGCAGAAGGAGACTCGGGCTGTAACAGTAGTCCAGTGGATAATGGACGAGGAGCTGTGTTGTGGGATGCAATCCCAGGAGGAGTCAGCCATCAGAGCTCAGCATGCTGTTCTCCTGGCACTGCTTCTTGCTTTTGTTCCTTGTGGGAGGTTGCCAAGAAACAATCATAAATAACCAGCAGAGAACTGTCTTACCTCACTGTCAGATTTCTCACATACCCTTGTCTCTGCTTGGACCCAGAAACTCTTTCTAGAGTAATTCAGTCTCTTCCAGAGAAAATAAAGTGTTGCCAAAGAGCAGGGATTATTCTGAAAGGATGTGGAATGCCTTTTGACAGGTATTACACTAAAACTCTAGACTGGCAACATCTTTTGTCATTTTAAGCAGGCGGCTAGGATGTGAAATACAGTGGATCACAGACACCTTTCCTGGCTCCTGAAATGGAAGCTACTAAGGGCTCACCTGGAAGAGATGGTTACCCAGAGCCATGGGAGAGGTGTCCTTGCTGCAACTCTCCTCGCCTGCTGAAGCATGGGAGCCAAAGGTGGCCACAGCAGCAAAAGCCCTGCAAGAGGCAGGGAAGAACTGAGCAGTTCGCTGCCATGCACCTCTCTGTCTGCCTCTCAGTGTCTGAGGCCATGGTGTTTAAACCTCAACTCCTGTCCATCCCCCAGGAGAAGCAGATGAGGAAGGAGTGTAGTGAAAAAATCTTGCAAATTAAAATTGGGTGCCATGCAATACCTGCAGACACCCAAGTGGGCATTTCTACCCAGTGGATGGCACATACCAGCCTGACCAATACCAACAGATTTAAATTGGTGCAAACCTATCTGTGAAGCCATCACTGTTGTACCAGCAGAGCCTGTAGTGGGGCACTGCCCCTCCATAGCTCCCACACTGGCCCAGATGGGCAGGAACAGTCCCATCACTGCCCCCATTTTCAATACCATTAGGTTTGACTTTGCTTGTTTCCCCATTGAAAGCCTGTGGATTCCAGCATAGGGAAGACGGATGTTTTCACTCCAGATGGGTAATTGTTCCAGGAAACATCTTTGTCAGGTGAAAACTGTGTTGATGTTGTACTGACTTCCTCCTTTAGCAGGTATTTTCATACTGTTACCTGCAGCTGGTGGTGCAGTGGGCATTCATGGAAAACTGGAAAGTTTAACAGGTCAGTGTTCAGGGATTTTGGTTCTGTAGCTGGCAGCCACCCAGCCACCTTGAATGCTGAAATAGAACTGGCAGAACAGGGCTGGTAAAGGAGAGCCTCTTGTACCTGTACTGTCTCCACAGAGGTTGTTTGGGGTTTAAACCAAACCAGGGGGTTTAAACCAGGACATGTTGCCCACTGTGGAGAGACATGGGTTTCATAGAAAGAAATCATGGTTTGGGTTGAAAGGGAGCTTTGAAAATCAGCTGGTTCAAACTCCCCCATCGTGGCAAGGACATCTTCAACTAGACCTGAAAACTCCATCCATCCTGGCCTTGCACACTGCCAGGGATGGGGCAGCCACAGCTTTTCTGGGCAACCTGTTCCAGTGCCTCACAACTCTCACAGTAAGAATTTCTTCCTCAGATCTAATCCAAACCTGTCCTTTTTCAGTTTAAAACCATTGCACCTTGTCCTGTCACTACAGGTCTTGTAAAAAGCCCCTCTCCATCTTTCTCGTAGGCCTCCTTTAGGTACTGAAAGGTTGCAGCAAGGTTTCCCCAGAGCCTTGTCTTCTCCAGGCTGACCAACCCCAACTACCTCAGCCTGTCCTCGTAGGAAAGGTGCTCCATGTCTGATGATTTTCATGGTCCACTCTGGACTCATTCCAACAGGTCCATGTCCTTCCTGTGCTGAGGATGCCAGGCCTGGACACAGCACTGCAGATGGGGTCTCACATGAGCAGAGTAGAGGGGGTGAATCACCTTCCTTGACTTCAAAGTGTTGTAACTGTGCCTTGTCTTCTATCCTAGGCTTTGTCAACCAGAAGCTCACCAGGCCCAGAGAACAACAACCTCAACCATCAGTGAGTGTTCCCTGCTTTCATGGTGTCTTGAGGGGGAAAGAGCAGGTGGAATAAAGGGACCTTTATGCTATTTCTGCATTCTTCACAGTGTGTAAAAGAGCTGGGAATGGAATTGTGTTAAATGGTTTGTAACCCTAAATATTCTGCTCTTTTACTTACTTGCAAATTTAAAAAAAATATTAGGTGCTGCTTGAAAAGATCCAGGCTCCAGCTTAAGTGTAGTATAGAGGTCATGAGCAGTCGGAATTTAGGATGTCCACATGTCAGAGAGGCACCTTGGAGTAGCTAGTGCAAAGCTATGGAGAATTGCTCCAGCAAAGAGCTCAGGCCCTTATTCACCTGTGGCCTCTGCAGCATGTGGGAAAGGAGAATAATGTCTCTTTGCTCCCCAGGAACCATAAGAGAAAGCCCATGAGATGCCCCAATGCTACACCAGTTAGAGACAAGTGTCCTTCAGGGATGGGGGACTGATGGGGACCTGCTGCTCTGGGTGCCAAACAAAAGAAATCTGAAATTTTCCATGAGCAAAAGCTGCCCAGCAGAGTGAGCCTCCAAATTTGCTTGCACCAGGAATGGGGAGAGTTTACCACGTGTTAAAAAATCCCAGGTGAAATGAACAGGTTTGAAAAACTGTCTTAAAATATCACCTCCTTACATTAAAAAGTGACTCCTCAGCACAAAGCTCTGGCTGTCATCCAGCCCCTCTGCCCCTGCAGCACTCAGGAACAGACTAATCTGCAGATCCTGGTCATGGGCTGTGTGACCTACTAACAGCAGTGCTGGTGGATGTCAGCAGAGCCCAGGCACCCTCTGCTGTCCTCCCTCCCGCTCCTGTTCTCCCTCCCAGCTGGCAGGGAGCTCGTCTGGCAAGGCTGCTGCTTCCCAGAGCGCTCAGAAAACATATCTGCCCCTGGCTTTTCTGATGGCAAGGCTTGTACAGGTGCTCTTGCAGGGACTTTAACCTCTCCTGTGTGCTTCCCAGCATCCTCAGTGGCTTTTGGGCTATGATGGCAGCTGAGCAATCTCCTCCTGGGGTGCACAGCCAGCCCTGCCAGGCCCCTGTGCAGCTCCCTGGCCCCACTGGCCCCTCACACCCTGCCAAGGCTTTCCTTCTCCCACCCTCTTTGACATGCAAAGGGAAGGTTTGAGACAGTAGGAAATGTTTTCTGATCTGGGATGACAGAGCAGGAGGTCACTTTCATTTAGACATTTACTTTGTACCCACTGCAGAGTCCCATAGCTCAGCTCACGTGTGAAGTGCCTGTACTGCCTGAGATCAGCAGAGTTGCAATTTCTGCTGGCGAGAACTATGCAAACACTTTTTTGGAAATGACCCAGCACAGAGCAAATTTTTGAAGACATCAAATCAAATAAAATCAAATAAAGCCATGGAAACAGAGGTTAATGTGCATGCATAGGTGTGTCATCCTTCACATTTCTGTGGCTGGAATCATTCTAGGTAAACACTCACAAACAGCAAAAGTCAGCCTTGTCTTGATAGAGTTGCTGACTGAAGAAATTCCCATAAAGCCAATTAAAGGAGAAGCAAGTGTCAGGGAAGGAGAAGAAGAGCTAGATACAGAGGCTTAATAGCGTCTGTCAAGAGAGCAGTCACGCGAGATAGAGGTGGGTGTGCGCCTCCTGTCCTAGAACATGCCCGTGTGACACCACACAAGCACCTAAACCAGCCCCTGGTAAATACTTTGGATGTGCTCCTGATTGGGCTGTGTTACCTCTCATCATCCCTCCCCCAAAATCTTTTGGGAACTGCTCTCTGCTAGTTGATGGGTGGATGACACAACCCAGGCACACAATAACGATTTTATAATTGCTGCCAAGGCTCGTGACTCTGGCAGGGTTACCGGGGCGTTGTTTTGACCCACTTTACAGCTGCTAGGTCTTGCAGAAGGCGTTTTAATGATTAACCCTGGACATCCCCATCCTCAGCAAAATGATAAAAAACACTGGCCTAGATTCACCCAGCCTAGTTTTCAGCCATTTAACTCAGGTTTGTTGCCTGGGAGCTTGTCACCCTAGTCACCCATCAGGGCCATTGTCATGGGAGCCCGCAGGCAGCTCTCCCCCACACCAGGCACCTGCCTGACACCAGGGATATGGCACCGACAGCCACCCCCACTGCTGGGGTCTTGCTCAAAGGTGGTTTTGCTCACTTTTGTTCTAATTTTGCCTTTTGCATTTCCTTCTCTACATTGCATAGTTCATTGTTTTTACACTTAACAAAAAAACCCACCCACAATTCCTGCTTCCTTACAAAACTTTAAACACCGAGAAGCCTGTAGCTGAAATGGAGCACATTTCTTGCTTTCCTCTTTCCTAAATTGCTTTGCTCTAGCCTCTTAAATCACTTTTATTGCTGTTTTCTAAACTCCCTCCGAGCTGTTAATAACGTTTCAGCAGTGAGGCACCCAGAAGCCTGCACAGTAATCCTGACGGAGCTGTACTAACCTTTTTCCTTGCTGTCCTATCATGCTGCAGATTCCCCTCTTGTATGCTTTTCAGCTAAGTCCTTCTCTCTCAGCTTTATTCCTTCACAGGTTTCTCTCCCTCCCCAGAACACCTGGGGTTTGAAAATCTTTCCACTCAAGGTACTGACCTGTTACTTTCCTGACTGGAGGGTCTAACAGCCCTCAGGTGGACTCGGTGTGCATGAAGCCAGGCTCTGCAGCCCTGGCATGTGGTTACAAGAGGAGCAAGGTGCCTCCTCTGCTGCTGGAGCAGCTGGAGGAGCACGGGAACAGGCCTGTGGTCCACCAGCTTTTGTCCTGTGCACCTCCTGAGCTTGGGATTTCCCTGCCACAACTTCTCACTGAATTCTAGGATCAGTAGAAATAGCTGCACCAACGTGCCTTTGAGATGGAGGTTTAGGTTGGGATGGCCTGAGGAGGTCTCTAGTCCAATCTCTAGCTCAAGCTCCAGGTTGGATCAGCTGTGAAGTCAGAGCAGAATGCTCCAGGCTTAGTCCCATCAGGTGTTGAAAACCTCCAAGGATAGAGCCTGTGCAACCACACAGCCTGTTCCTCTGCTTGCTGTCCTCAGGGTGCAGAAGTTTCTCCTTTTATCCAGATTAAAGCTGCCATTTTTTATTTCAATTTTCCTGTATTAAATGATAGAGAACTTTGCCACAAGTATAGGAATAGTATGAACAGCAGCTTGCTTTTCCTTTACTCTTGAAAGAAACGCAGCCCTCTTTTCCTCTCATTTCTGGGGTGTGCATAGGAAGTGGAGTCTGCTTTTTTTTGCTTTTTTTTTCAAAAGCACATCTGTGTCTCAAGGAGTTTTACCTGGAGATTTTCTCCGTGCAAACCAAAGCATTGAGAATAATTAACAGTGAGAATTTATGTAACTGCTAAGAGAAACAATGGCTCTTCTGTGGGCCTGCAAGCAAGCTGCCAGGAGCTTTGCCTCTTATTCATCACGTAACATAAAATTAGTTAGAGGATTGTCACAATGCAGAGTTTAAATCAGTAAATTGTGTGTTTTAACTCAGATTTCTGCACTTCCTTTTCCCATTATTGCTTTGTAAATGCTGCTGTATGGTTTGAGCTCTTGGACTTGTAGCTTTCTTCTCAGGTCTTACTTAGTGCAGTGGAAGTCAGATACCCTGCAGCCCTCAGCAGGAAAATTAATAAAAGGAATAAGCAGAAAAGTCCAGTTGCTAAATCCTACTTGCTGCTAGTAGAACTTGCCACGAGGGCATAGTGCAGTTTAATACCTACACTACCAGTGTCACCAGCTGGCCATCAGGTGACTGCAGGGAAAACACCAGGCTATTTCTGACACAGGGGGGACATGGCACAAACACAGCCTGGTCAGGGCAGCTGGGCTGGGCAGGAGCCTCTGTGGCCAGGGCAGGTCAGAGCAGAGGGAGCGTTGCACTGCACTGTGGCCACTCACTCCACAGCCACTGCCTGTGGGAGGAACACTGAGGATACTCCCTGGCCCAAGGAGAGAAGTATGAAAGCACTTCCTCTATAGGAGAAAGTGTCCTTAGAAAAGCCTGTCAGGGTTCTTTGCTTCAATTCCAATTCTATATTTACATACCTACTTTGGGGCAGTTCCTGTGATTTTGTCTAGTAAACAGGTCCTCAGTTTTTTTCATTAAAGGATGATAATGGATGAATTTTAGTCATCCCAGCTGCAAGAGCAATGGTTGGGATAGATCTCATCCTTAGAGGAATTCAGTAGATAATACATGGTGAGTCTGGGACAGATCTGGAGCCATGCTAGTGGATATGAAAATCTCTCCACTTTGGCAACAAACTAACTGACACACAAACCCAAAACATTTATTTATTGTTCTTCACTAGTGGATGGTCGCAAAGTCTTGGTTGACATGGCATGGCAGAGCACTTTACAGTTTGGATTTACCAGCTCAATTCTCCACTTAGCTGTGCACCTCACCGTGACCTCCATTCCAAGGAGCCGTGTGTTCCAAGCCTGATGGCCCAGCTTTCTCCCAGATGTCCACAAGGTCAAGGAGGAGCACTCACTTGTCAGCTTCTGTCACTCCTCTCTTGAGTCCTGGAAGGCAAGATCAAGTAGACTTAATTGGTAGCATGAGGTACAGTGGTCAAAGCCTGCAGAAGACTTGTCACTATTCTCCCATATGCAGGTAGGGGCAGATTTCTCTTGTACCCAACATAAACCACCTCTGAAAACAGCAATAAACTCCGTACCAGTTCCCTTTGAGTAATACATCAGTTCCCACTCATGGGAGGGCTGATGTGGAAACAAATAATAGCCATAAGAGGAATTTGAGGGAGCTGCATTCATATTTTGCTTGAAACTCAGATCCCTTATGAATACAAGCAAAATAATCTCTTTTTTGCATAAAACCTTAGAAGTCACATGAAGATTACACTGTCCTTTAGCTGGGCTTGAGCCTAACTCAGAAGGTTCTGGGAGCTTGATCTGGAGCATTGTAAGGGTTGTACTGTAATGAACTTACAGACTAAACTGGTGCCAAGTGATAGCAAATGTCAGCAGGCGATGTGCCAGTGGGGTATGGGAGCTAGACATGACAGAATATCTGTGTCTCAGTGAGCCACGTGCAGCTTGATCTTTCCATTCACAAAAAAAATGAACCAAGGGTCTTCTTTTATCTTCAGAGCCTGATTCTCTCTCATAACAGCAGTAATTCATTCCCTTCCATGATAGGTGCCCAGAAAGCAACAAGAAGCCTTTGGGGCAGTCCACAATATTATATGATTACTCGGAGGAGGAGCTCATGGCAAGCATTGAGCGGGAGTACTGCCGCTGAATCCAGTTCCCCACCACGAGAATGTCAGGCTTGATCCTGGAAGCCCAGCTGAGCAGAACTGCTACTGACAACACAACGTTTCACCCAGCGAGACAGCACGGGACAGGTGGCTGGGGAGGCTCTGGAACACCAGAGGCAGCATGGCTGCTTGGGAGGCACAGAGGAGAAAGGTCACCTGATCAGTGAGAGAATGAAGATCCTCACCAGCTGCTGGTTTCTGATTGGTGCCACTGGGAGAGGAACCAATTTGTCTTAAGAATCAATATTTAGAAGCTAATTTCTAAATGCTGTTTATAAATTAACGTGTACTAGAAATAAGTGTCATAGTAGAGATGTTGAAATGTGGTGCTTTGAAGGAAGATCTTGCTTTGAACTTAGTAAAAAAATAGCAATATCATCTGATCCAGAACTTAAAGGGGATGTTGAATGAAATTCGTGTTTCTGCCACTTAAAATGTGCCAGATGTACTCCTTGCACTGTGCAAGCCTCAGATCTAGGTCCGAATTTGGCCCTCTTTCAGTCTGGTCCACAGTGTGAGAGATAAGATGAAAAGGGGATTGAGCCCACCATCTAGTATATAGGCAGTGTAATCCCAGAGTTCAAATCCCACCACACTGGCAAACTAGGCTCCTAGAAGCCATCAGGGAACACAGGATTTCTGTGATCCCTTTGGGGCAGGATCCCAGCATAGGTGTCCTACCTGGGGCTCCTGGGTGTGGATCCATCCCAGGGATGGCAGTGAAAGCAGGAGGCACATCCCCATTTCAGTCATCCTCCTCGAGAGGGACTTGCATGCTCTTGTAGAGCAGCTGTTTGGGATCAGTTTTCAGACTTGCCACTTCTGGCCTTTCCCTAATATTTCTTGTCCTACAAGAAAAATCACTGCATTTTACCATTAGCTGACTGCAAAGTAAACCAGAAAGTTGTCTCTCCTAAGGAAACAGTATTTTCAGTGCTCCCAGACAGGAAAGCCTGGTATTTTGGGTTTCTGCTTTTGTTATATCTGCATCTTAACATATTTTGAGTATCTGCTTATTATCAGAAGTAGAAAATTTATTTCTATCTTCAACTGAAGCATAAAAGGCATCAGATGAAATCTTCACTACGTGTAAATGCAAGAAAAAACTGCAGGACACCTCTTAAGATGCTGTGTTTTAAGTACCTTATGATTCCTGGGACCTGTGAAACAGTAATAAATGCATCTATACTCTGAAGCCCCCAGTGAAGGCATCAAATGTTCTGAAAAAGGCTGTGTGGCCTGCAAGGGAAATCATGCTCTGGAACCTGCAGAGACCAAGCAGGATGCATCCCTGAGGATGGCAGGTGGGACACCTTGAGGGGGCACGAGATCACACCCCTGGCACACAGACTCACAGCCCAGCAGCCTTCAGCAGGGCTGGACATTGTGCTCTGCCTGGGAGCTGGGGAGCCACCAGGCAGCCCAGGGTGGGCAGGGGGAAGGGAGCCAGCCTCCCACAAAGCTGTGCATGCCTGAGGGCAGGAGCTCCCAGCACACCAGCTGGGGCATGGATAGGAACAGGGATAATGCTTTTAAACTGGAAGAGGCTAGATTTGGGTTGAACATAAGGAAGAAATTGTTCACTGTGGGGGTGGTGAGGTACTGGAACAGGTTGTGAATGCCCCATCTCTGGAAGTGTTCAGAGCCGGGTTGGATGGTGCTCTGAGCAAACCGGTCTAGTGGAAGACGTCCCTGCCCATGGCAGGGAGGTGGGACTAGATGGGACTAGATGATCCTTAAGGTCTCCTCCAACCCAGGCCATTCTATCATTCTGTGATAACTTTGGTGGCCGGAAATAGCTGGATTAGAGCTATTGTCTAATAGTCTCTGCATTGTTGGGAGAAGTTGGGTGGGCCCTCTGGAGCAATAGCTCTCTAACTCTCCTGGAAAAAATCCAATTTTGAACCATAGCGTTTCTTTCACAAGAACAGTCATTTTTAGATCTATTAATGTCACTGATCTATGGCAGGAACACAGTTTCTCTGCAGTTTATCAAGAGTCCACTCACCGTATCTCCCAGTGCTTGTGTTAGTTTTCAGCAGCTCTCAAAGACTGGGATGAACAGAATCTGCCCTGTGGAGAGCAGAAAAAACATGGTGACCCCAGCACCACAGGGAACCACAGTACTCTATATTCTTTTCTAATCACTATAGTGGTTTAGATTTTTTTTGAACTTGGATTTAATTCTTTCAACTAAGACCTTCCTTCTCTCATCGTCCCCAGAGTCCCTGACACATGTGGGGAGGTATTTCCATGAGCTCAGTCACAGCTCCCCCTTCGTGAGGGCAGGGCCAGTGGATTGCTGCCTTTTTGGATGGCCTCCAATGACACAGCAAACCAGAGGAAAGCCATGCTGCTGTCAGACCACGCTGTGACAGGAGCAGGCAGGGACCAGGGCTCTGCCTCCCCCCAGGTCGCTCTGCACGTGCCCTGCCTGCCCCTACAGAGCTTCTCTCTCTGAGGCTGCATTTGGTGACTGGCCCAGGTATCAGCTCTACTGTCACCCTGAAAACTGAAGCCTTCTGGTAGTGTTTTCATAGTTTTAGTTACTTTCCCATGAAAGTTCTATAAATGTAATGTTTATCACATTCCTTCTAAGAAATGTCTTTTGATGGATGTTTCGCATGACCAGTGTGCTTGGGAAGGTGGTAACTTAATTAACCAATCCCTGGTCATTGTCAAGAATCTATAAATACTGGAGTCAGAGAATAAAGGTTACTTCGTTCCTGTTCTAACACTGAGAAGCATTTGTGTGAATCATTTTGTGTGCTTTAGCGACACTCTACAACCCATTTCAGACTCTCCTAAGGGAAAGTCTAAGTGTTCACAATTACAGAAGCTGACTAATTAGAAAGAACACCTAAACTGAACATACTGTTAAGACTGCAAAAAAATCTCCCTCTGCTGAACACAGCAAAGCACTGAGCTGCTTTATAAAATGAGCATCTAAAATAACCAAGAGACAAGCACATTTCTGTACCTGGAACAAAGGTGCAGTGGGTTTCACAGATAACATTTTCACCATCACCAACAGAAAAGGAGGAGCAGAAACACAGGAAGGGCCAGAAAGGAGTGATGCAGCTGAGGCAGTCACTGCAGCAGGGAAAAGGTGCAAGAAAGAAATTTGGGGTTGCAAGGAGAGACCTCAAACCGTGGCATGGTCTTGCAGGCTTTCTCTGTGCTGTAAAATGATGTGTGCTCAGCACTGAGCTCAGACCACAGAGCCAGCCAGCACAGACAGCTCACTGCCGTCTGTGTCATACCATGCAGAACAGGATGGCAGTACACAACCAGGTTCCCAGTCTGCCCAAGAACTGATGGGGCCTGTGCTCCTCCCTCTGTGTCAGACCTGCACCCTGCAGCACGCCAAAAAGGGACAGGGGCAGTGGGGTTGGTGCCTAGGAAGCCACAACTACAATTTAATTACCTGGTGTCAGTGTAATTCTGCTTTTGGTCCATCCTTTGCTCACAGAAAATAGGACACTAGATCATAGGTAAATAATAGTATGGAAGCAGTAGCTGTGCCCACAACAGATTGCAAGAGAAACTTCTTGAATTAATGGGGTTTTTAAAAAAGGAGATCACTTTGCCACATCTCAGGGAGTGAATGCTGACATCCAACCAGCTGAAGTATTGGAAGGTTTGTTTTCTTTCCATGGTGTTTCTCTATAAGCATCATCAAATCACAACTGCTTTGAAGGACAAAAATATCATTCAGCTTGCTAGTATTTCCTGCCAGTAAAATAGTTTGCTGGAATTAAGCAGGGTTCTGGAATCTCTTATTCATAATTTTGGAAACTACCCTCCTGTTCAACACCCGTAGCATAAAACAGGATGGCTGACAATGGCTTTTGAGCTGACACTATTAGTCTCCATTAATAAACCAGCAGAAGGCTATTACTTTTAACCAAAACACTACATTATTTATCTAACAATGACAAGTGCTACATGCTGCATTTTGCACTAGCCCAAAAGGAGCAAGAGAGCCTTGCTGAGACAGTGCCTCTACCCCAGCAAGGGAGCAGCAAGGAGGGCACAGCGACCCACAGGCTTGGAGCTGTGCCAGAGGAACCTCATGGAGAAGCCCACCACATTGGCCTGCTGCCTGGCACAGACCACATCCACAGCAGGGTTACCCTCACCTCACTCTGGACACAGGACATGGCAATTATTTGCACAGAGTGAAGTGAATTAATGTGGGCAGTGATAAGCAACAGAAGTTACTCTGAACTCAGGAGATGCTACAAGAGAGACAATTAAACCTAAGGTATTCTTCCCATCTGGGATAAATTCTCCCAGGAAAGGGTATGCTCCAGCTTCCCCAAGTTTTATGCATGTTTTAAGATGTGCCCATTGCCTTCTGCACACATTAGCACATAAAAGTTAGCAATTTCCTTCTACATCTGAAGACTGAAACAGAAAGTGGGAAAGGCTGCATTTGACAGAGGATCTCAGAACAGCCTGGACTGTGAGATGTGGCTGAGGCTTTGCAGCTTCCTCCTCCGTGGACGCTGTCACCATTTCCTCAGCCTGCAGGTTGCTGGGTTTTGAGTCGTGATTTACTCTTGCTGCAGACGTGGAAGCAATTTGCCTTCTCACAGCCAGAGCCTGCCTGCCTCAAGCTGCCTTGCCAGACGTGAATGGAAGGTAAACAGGCAGATGGGCTCACAGATTAAACTTCAAAACCAGTCAGATTTATCCCTGCAGATGAACTCAAGCCAGAGGCAACCCTGGGGCAGGACTCAGCTCATGAGATGACAGATGAAGGATGTTGAGTTCAGCTTTCACAGCTGGAAAGGGAAAGTTAGCCAGAGCTGTGGCCTCAGCTGGAAGAGCACACCAAGCGTGCAACCACCCCTCAGCACGGGCAACCTGGGCAGCATCAGAATGGATTCACTCTTCCAATGCCCACACTTGAAGAGGATCAGTGCCCTTTGGTTTGCAGGACAACTTGAGCTGGTGCTCAGCCCACACAGTTTGGCTGTACAACCACACGGGGTGGTGTGTGTAATGAGCAGTGCCACTCTGGCTGCAAGATGAAGCATTAAGCCAACAGACATGCTTGACCACAAATCCATTGTCCTTTATAAATTATTCCATTTCATGGATTTAGAATGGCTTCCAGACAGAAAGGCTTGCCCTCAACAATGCTTGTGTCAGTAAAGGGGTAGCTGGGAAGGCTTCCTTGTATGCAGGCTGTTTCCTCACACTGGATGAAGCTGTTCCAGACTCCAGCCCCATTAGGATGTGGACTGAGTGCACGTCCTGGCATCACAGAACATCTCAGCCACATCTTGGGTCTAAGGAAAAGCACAAAGGTGAGCACAGACTGTGAAATCCATTGCCATGTTTCACATAAGCAAAGCCGGGGAAACAAAATAACAATCAGCAAAAAAAACCCAAAACAAGTATTCTTAGGAGTATAATTGGATGTTCAGGAAAAGTCCTTCTTGGAAAATAGTAGTTAGGGACAGGTAGGACATCTTCCCCTGGGAGACAAACACATTGTGGCAACCTGCAGAGCCCAGGGGCCAAAGTTTGTGCTGTTCTGCCAGAGCATTAAACCTGCACCTAAGCTTTCCCTTCCAGCTGTCCTCCTGAGGGGGAAGCAGAACCATCCACGAGATCTCTTTTCCTCTTCCTCACACTTGCAAAAACAATGTGCTCTTCTGTGGACAAAGCCTTGAGTCACTCCCTGAGGGCTCTGCCTGCAGACACTGAGCCACCTTGCAGTGCAAGGCTGTGACAAAAAGCTGGACTCATTACACCTTCTCCCTTTCTGCTGGAAATAAACATTCCTGCAGTTCAGGAAATGGTCAGAGGGAAACAGCAGAGGGAAACAGTATACAAGGAAGCCTTACCTACATAAAAATGTAGGTAGTTGCTGCAGCTGTCACCATCACTGAACACCTCCTTCCCAGCTGAAACTGGAAGATAACAACCAGCCTGCCAGAGCCTCTTCCCCACCAGAGCAGGAAGAACTGGGGCTAGCACAGCCACCTTTTGAGTTAAATTCTCTCTCTGCCTTATTTCCAGCACTCACTCCATGAACAGCATGTGACGCTGGCAGCACCCAGCACATCCCTTCTGCTCACAGCTGCTGGAGGGTGGGCTGGAAGTGGTGTGGAGCCGGGAGCTCTTGCTCCCAGAGAGCAGAGAGAAGCCCCAAGGCCTGGTGGGGGGTGTGCACCTTTTACCAAAAACATGAGACAAGTGGTGTAAAATCATAAACAAGTAAGCACTGATCAATTTACAACAGGATCAAAAAAATCCTGCCTTCACAAATAAGTGGATTAGCAAACCCCAAAGTCTTCCACTGGCCTAGACACACAACCTAATCCTGAAGGATTTACATAGTTCTGGAATGGATACCTATGAAACCTGAAAATCCATGATTTTTTTTTTTATAACTAAAAACCAGTCACGTTACATACATTTTATTTAATAAAAGTTAAAAACATGTACAAAAATGCAGTTCCATTTCCTTAAAATATAGGCTCAAAATAAAAAGACTGAACAGTAGAGTTCAGGCAGTAAAGTGCAAAGACAGCAGCTATGCCAGTCATGCTTAATCCATAAATAACCCTTACACAGCAGGAAGGAACAGACAGAGCAGACACAGCCACACCGCGGCACAGCTATTCACGCACATCCACAGGAGAATGAGCCACACATCCCAGAACAGGCTGCCAGGAATTGTAGGCCAGGTACACCCAGACAAGGAGGAAGCAGTTGCTTTTTCACATCGTGACACACATACATGACACACTTTTTAAAAGTCTGTACTCTCCAGTCCACCGTTGTCCTCCCCATAATGCAACAAACATGACAATTTATATAATTATGACACGAGTTTCCAAACTGTTTTCTCAGGTGAGCACCATAAATGGTCAGTCAGTAAAAAAATGAAGTGCTAAACCGGCTACTAAACTGAGACAGGACATGCTTCCCCTGGTTCAAAGCATGCAAAAATAGCATCCAAAAGCCAGACTTCTAGTTCTAAGGGATTTCTGAGAAAAAAAAAAAAACAACAAAAACAAGTAAGAGCAGCAACATCTCTTTGTTCACCACAGAAACTTGGAAAACTGGGTAGCAACAGAGAACAGCAACACCACAAGGATGCACTTCACCAGGAAAAGGTTCCAAGCAAGCCCTTTATAGAGTCCAAAGCAAGGTTCACACACACGCTCACCGGCACAGGACTGGGGTCAGTGGGATTACAGCACGTGTCAGTGAACAGGGTGTGGGCCTTTATAAGGTCAGGCACAAAAACTTCAGTACACTTACCACAATACTCCAATTTAGTGCAGTTTGAAAACTTACTACTGTTAATTATAGCTATAGACTTTAGTGTAAAAAATAATGACAATCTGCTTTAACTGAAGCAGATCTCTGCCGATTTCAGGAGACTGCCAGTTGAGGTCAGCAAGTCAGCACTTACATAGATGAGATCCATGCTTTGCCCACACTGGGAAGCAAGACCAGCATTTCAGAACAAAGCAGTAAAAGAGAGACTGCATTCCTAGTTATCCACAGCTGATGCATATAGGA